TTGTGTGATTGTTGGTGTGTGTAATTCCGTATTATCGAGGTGAAGAAAATGCGGTCGGCTTGCTCTTTCGTAAGAGCCCCTATAGCTCAGTGGTAGAGCACCGCTTAGTAAGCGGAAGGTCGGTAGTTCAATCCTGCCTGGGGGCAAATTCCTTGCAATCGTTTCACATCCGGTACCTCTCCGTGTCGGTCGTGAGCGTGCCGTGCTTCGCGGCGTCTTTGCTCTTTTGCCCCTTTGCCACATTGCCCTTGTGCACGCACATGCACACATTGCTCATTCAGCGCAACACTGCTAATTCTGCGCAACACTGCTAATTCTGCGCAACACTGCTCATTTGGCGCAGGATACTGTTGGTAACGCTCACCATTTGCCGTACTGTTCCCCGCTGAGTCAAACACATTTCCAACTCAGTTGCCCTCGTAGCTTTCCACGAAGACATACGTCGACGCTTTGTGGTGTCGGATTGGTCTGACTCGTGAGTTTCTTCAGGTGCTAATGCCATCCCGGATTCGAGCTTGCTGTCGAGCGGCACGGTCGGTCGGAGGCCATGATCGCGACGAGGTGTGAATTGGAAGGTATGGACGGGAAGAGGACCGTGTGAGGATGTGAAAAGGTGATGTAGGGTGTGTTGTGTGATTGTTGGTGTGTGTAATTCGTATTATCGAGGTGAAGAAAATGCGGTCGGCTTGCTCTTTCGTAAGAGCCCCTATAGCTCAGTGGTAGAGCACCCGCTTAGTAAGCGGAAGGTCGGTAGTTCAATCCTGCCTGGGGGCAAATTCCTTGCAATCGTTTCACATCCGATACCTCTCCGTGTCGGTCGTGAGCGAGCCGTGCTTCGCGGCGTCTTTGCTCTTTTGCCCCTTTGCCACATTGCCCTTGTGCACGCACATGCACACATTGCTCATTCAGCGCAACACTGCTAATTCTGCGCAACACTGCTCATTTGGCGCAGGATACTGTTGGTAACGCTCACCATTTGCCGTAATGGTTCCCCCCCGAGAAAAACAACACTCTTCCGGCTCGATGGCCCTCCTAACTTTTCCACAAGAACATAGTTCCAACCTTGTGGGGTCGCAATGTGTTCTGAATCCCGGAATTTCTCCCAGTGCTCAGTCCATCCGGATGTACCATCTGCTGTCGAGCGGCACGTCGTCGAGCCATGATCGCGACGAGTGTGATTGAAGTATGACGGAAGAGGACGTGTGAGGATGTGAGAAGTGATGTAGGTGTGTGTGTGATTGTTGTGTGTGAATTCGAATACGAGGTGAAAAATGGGGGTCGGTTTGCTCTTTCGAAAAACCCCATACCCAGGGGACACACCCGCTATTATCGGAGGGC